GTGCTGTTCCCCCACCTCTTTGAAAGAAGCGGGGAACAAAAATTCAGGCACAAAATATAGATGGCTACGTACGGAAGATGAGGTGTCCCAGCTCGATCACAGGCAAGGGAGGGCAGATCAATTAAGAACCCAACATTTCAACCCTCAAATTTTGGGAGAAATTTTTAATTTTGACCAAAAAGAAGAGATTATTTGGGGGTGAGGGGGAAGGGGAGTTTTATCCTGTTTTTTGACTAGCTGTAATCACAGGTAACAGACAGAACATATCTGAAAGAAGGTCTTTCCCCTGCATCTACCGCTCCAACACCTCACTGAGGCTGCCAGGGGCCACCCGCAGAAGCTGCTTGGACATGGGATTTCCCGCCAGGGCGCAGCCCGGAGCCATTTGACAGAGGGGTTCCAGGAATGTGGGCAATGCTGTGCACCATGGTGGGAAAGTTCGCACGGGCCAGCGTTCAAACACAAACCCCTGCCTCCAGGCACACACCAGGCTCTCCAGCAAACACAGGCAGCTGGGACCAGCAGACGGGAAACATCTCTTTGACACTGCCTTGGCGCTGCTCAGCACGACGTTTGCAGAGACTCCAAGGCCAGAAGGAGCCATTGTGATCACCTCCTCTCTGACCCTCCTGCCTAGCTCCGGGCAGAGAATTTCATCCTGGGATTCCTGCCTGGAGTCCCTGCCTTCTGGTTGAATGACAGTAAATCTCTTTGAAAGACATCCAGCCTAGATTTACAGATTCCAAGTGATGGAGACGCCATCACATCCCAAATTACTTTGTTCCAAGACTCGATTCCCCTCCCCGTTTAACGATCTGCCCCTGCTTTTCAGTCTGAATGTGTCTAGCTTCCACTTCCTGCCATTAGAGCTCACCGCACCTTCATCTGCTAGAGTAAAGAGCCCTCTGTTCGTTTTGAGAAATCTTCTCCCCATCTAGGTGCTCTGGGCAGGGAGGAAAAGCTCACTGTGACTAGGAAAGGGTAGAGGGAACGGCTCGGGGGGCTACTCAGGTTCAGAGCCCCCCAGCTCGGCATGCCGGTGCCCTTGCTCCAAAGTTCTTCCCTTCCCCAGGGCTGGGGGTTTCCTACCTATTCCCCAGAGACTGGCCCGACCTGGTGCACCACGGCGGCTGCTCCAGCCTCTCCTCCAGGTCCCGCTCTCGTCTCTGCTCCCCACACACATGTGCAGGGGCAGAAACATTGTGGGGGTGGGAACATGCATTAGCCCCCCACCCTCCAATATTTCCATTGTGGGCGCGCTAGCCCCCCTCCACTTCCACCATTGCTGAAAGTACAGACAGGCCAAGCTCCAGTCGCCTCTTAAAAGTCTCTTCACACAAGAAAGAACTCGGGGGGGGGGGGCAGTGAAGCTTTAATCCTGCCCCCATCCCTCCGTCCCCTATTGCACGTTCACCCCGGTTTGTAGTTGTGAGGCAGGCTATAGCGAGGGTGTCTGAGGGGAGCTGCTTACGCCCGCACAGCATCACACCCTTACTCCTGGGACTTGGCAGGAGCCAGGAAGCAATGCTCTTACTAGCGAAGGACCAGGGGCCGTCTGTTCCCTGGCCTTCGCAGCACTTGTTACCTTGCGCTTGTGCCCTGCCACGCCCGAGAGCTTTGCCCCTGGTGTCTCTCAGAGCGTCCTGCCCCACAGCAAGCCCCACACCCAGAAAAGCGACTCACCAGTCAGCGCCACCATGTGGCTGGGTGCAGGGCTGACGGCCTGGGCGGGACCCTACAGTGGTCGGGATCGGTGACTCCGGCCAGGTCACACTTAAAAGCTCAATCCCCTTGCAGGGTATGTGGTCAGGCCCTAAGCTGGCTTCCCCAGCTGGCCTCTTCAAAGGCCCCTGCTCCTGCTCCACCTGAGCCAGCAACAGTCTTTCCTCACACGACCTCATCTTTTGCACTAATCCTGCTCTTCCTTTCGGAGTCGCTGGACCCTGGACTTCTCCAGGAGAACTCAGCACTACAAACCCGCCACCACGGCAGCCCTGCTGCAAGCTCAGACCTCCCGTCCCTCTGGGGCTTCTCCTCAGCAACACCAGGCCCAGCACAGCCCCCCTGGAGCCTAGCCTCGCCCCAGGGCCTGCCATCAGAACTAGCTCCACTCCTAGGGCTGTCCCTTCCCAGCTGATCCTCAGCGGCTCGGCTTCCTCCCATTTTAAGTCCCACACCTTGCAGCTGTGGCAGGCCAGGGCTAACTGACCAGAGGCTGGCTAACCCAGACCTCCTGGTCCTTATAAGAGCAGGCCACCCTGTTACAGGGCCTGTCAAACAGAGCTATTCCTGCAGACCCTCCTTCCCAGAGCGTGAATGAGCACCAAGCCAATGCAGAGCGTCACTGATAAACAGAGAACACCAAGTCCTCACCCGCAGGCCGCTGCTCTAACCCTTAGACCACACTCCTCTTCCAGAGCCAGAAATGGAACCCAGGACTCCTGACTCCTTACATTCCACTGCTGGACAGCAAATAGCAGTGTAACCCACTAGCAAAATGCATCTTACAGCTCTCTCTAGGGGCTGTCCCCCGCTGCAAGGAGGGTAACAGTTTTCTACTGCTGCCAGTCACTTCACTTCTTTAGCTCAATTGGTAGAGGTCTGCGCTGAAAATCTAGCATTCAAAACCTGCTAGCGACCCAAGAGAAGGGTCACTACAGTGGTACATAAGATAATGTCTTTTTTTTTTTTAATCTTTTTTAAAACCTAGGTGATTCCATTAAAAAAAAAAAACCCTATATTAACAGAACATTAAGGTTGCAATTCAAGCACTCAGAAGTTAGGAAAAGCCAGATTCAGATTACCTATGAGACTAATTTGGCCTCCTTGTGTTATGAAACAGTCTTTAATTTCATGATACCCTCCTATTTGTTCTACAGGACTGCTCCCCAGGGCAGACAGTGAATGAAGCGGGAGTGTGTAAAAAGTGAAATATTGCCTTGTGATTGAGGCACTCGCCTAGCATTCAAGAGAACTGGGTCCTATCTTAGCTTAAATAAAGAAGGTTAAGGGGTGACTTGATCACAGTCTATAAGTATCGAACAAATATTTAATAATGGGATCTTCAATCTAGCAGAGACAGGTCTAACACCATCCAGTGGCTGGAAGTTGAAGTTAGACAAATTCAGACTGGAAATAAGGTGCAAACTTTTAACAGCGAGTAATTAAGCAGTGGAACAATTAACGAAGAGTCGTGGTGGATTCTCCGTCACTGACAATTTTAAAATTAAAATTGGATGTTTTTCTAAAGCTCTGCTCCAGGAATTATTGTGGGGCAGTTCTTGGGCCTGTGTGATACAGGAGGTCAGACTAGATGATCACAATGGTCCCTTCTGGCCTTGAGATCTAGGCATCCCTGTTTCTGCTACAGACTTCTTTTGTAAAGCTGGACAAGGTATTTAAATCACAGGCTTCAGAGGCCAGAGTTGCCAGTTTTGCCTTTTATCCCTCCATGTTGCAGTTTCCCACCCGGAAAACTGGAATAACATGAAGTTACCTCGCCGGGGTGTTATAAGGGTAAGTTCATTAACTTCTGGGATGGGTTCAGATGAGTAGGCTTAGGCTGGTGGGCAGTAAATACGGGACAAGGCCACCCAGTGAACGAGGGGGATAAAACAGCTATTGAACTGCCTCATTCACTGAAGCCCTGTCTACCCTATGCCCTGAGAGAGGCTGGGTCAGGTGGAAAGAGGAATAGGTAATTCAAGGCTGCATCATAAGGCACATGCGCCCAGGGACTGAACTGAAGTTGCATAGGCAACTAACTTTTGAACACTTAACTTTGCAACCCCAATGTTCTTTCCTTTGTATGGAATATCTCTGTAGATATCTATTCCAGCGACCATTTGTTGTCCAACACTGTCGTAAAAAAATTATAGCAGCTGGATGTGGTAAACAGAAATCTGAAAAAAGAAAAGAAAAGTGAGTTGAATCCTGGCACGTAGTTTACTTTTATAACAAGGTCTTTGTTAAAAGACTATTTTTAATGTGAACCACCAGACATACTGCAGCTAGCTTATGGTAACCAGAATAAACAGCACGATGGAACTGCTCTCAGAAAATTGGTTCTAGTCTTTGTCCCTAACAGGCCAGCACAGTCTGTCAACGTGATTAAGCATGTCCATTGTATTCAGTATGTAACCGAAAGACCTAAGTATTAACCATACTATTGTCTAACGAGAAAAGGCTTGTGCCTACCCTTTGTGATTCCCCTGATAATTATAAACTGCATTACGGTCACTGGGTTGTCACAGGACTGCAGAGTTCAGATACTTAGTGACATCTATGCAAGGATCCAAAATCACTGCCAGCGTGTTACTGTGAGAAAGGTTATATTACAAGTAAAAGCTGAAGGGAAGAGCATTACGCCAGGGACACAGGTCCAAAATGTCCAATACCTTGGACTGTGTGTGGTGAAGAAGAAGATTTTGAAAATGACGCAGGGTGAAATTATGAAGACTACAGCACCTGTATTTTCATGAATGTGACTTTTAACTATTACCTTTCCTTTGAAAGAGAAAAGTGTCAATGACAGAGGATAGTCAGAAGTAACGGCCTGCGATGGGTCGTTTTCCAGTAAGTTTATTCACAGGATGGGTCTAGAAAGGAATATCACGAGTCCATGAAAAGAACAAGCTGAAGAGCAATAAAGTCCTGTTCTGTGCAAACTATTCTGTTCCATAAACCAATTTTTAGCACCACAATTTCCTGCAAATGCACAACTGTTGTTGCTTAGTTAGGTCTGTGACAGAAAGCTGGTTAGCACTCACAGGCTACTTATGCACTGGGGATCATGCAGTCTCCCACCTACATTACATGGATTTGCCTGTGAAATCCACACATCCATTGTTTGTCTTTTACACCTGGCCGCGGATAGGAAGACTCTCCAAATGCCATGGGAAGACATAAGAGACAGTGGGGGTTATAGGGGGTAAGAGACAGGAGACAGCCACCTTCTATGCTGCAGATACTGTAATTATATGATAGAGACGGAGGCTTACCTGGGAAGCTGGAGATCCCTGGCATGCTGTGAAGCACAGGAACAGAAAGAGGCTGTACTGAAATCCAGAAACCATGGTCCTAGTTTCAAGGTAAAATCTCTTCTCGGATTATTTTCGAATGCTTTCCCCTCCTGAGTGTTTTCTCAACCTGCCTTAGAAGTCCCTGGGAATGCCTGGAATGCAGCCGAGGGACAGCTGACTCCCGCTTGCCAGCACCAACCTGGCAGCTTCTCTCACGGAAGGGTTGAAGAAAACCACTCAGCTTTCAAGTCCTCATCTGCTGGCTGCCCTCGCAGCTGCTGCTGCTGCTGCTGCTGCAATCAGCCACTGCTGCTGCCTGTGTGAGCTCTTACAATCCAACACCTAAGCTGTGTGGGTCTGGCTGGGGTTTAGTTTCTCCCTCCCACTCAAGGTAGCAGTGGAAGGCTGGCTGGCTAGCGGGGTCCTAGCAGTAGGTGTTGGTCTCAGGGGAGAAACACTTGCCAAGTGGATATCTCCTTGTAGCCCGCACACTGGGCAGCGGCCAAAGTGGGGGAGACTCATCCCGTTCGTCTTCTAGGAGAGGTTGGGACTGTATTTCCCCAGAAGGCCCCTGAGAAAGGAGCACTCCTTTAGGATTGAATTGATTTCCATTAGCCTTGCTTCCTTCTCGGATGGAGAAGAACGGCCCCATGTGCAACGCTGATCTGCTGCAAAGCAACTGGAGAGAGGAGGATTTGGGTGGAGGTTCATCCCTCCCTTGCCCGGCCTTCTAGGGCGCTATCCTGCGAACACAGGGTTCAGGTGCACGTCACCACACTTCTGCCTTCAGCTCCCACTGAAGCCTGTGGACCCATACACGGGTGTATATCCAAAGGCAGAGCCAGTGAGAATGTCAGGGTGCACTCAGCTGGAGAGCTCCCTTCCTAGAGAAATTGGGTCTTGTCATGCAATACCTGGCAGCTGATCTCGAAAAGCTTCTCTGCACGCCACCGTCGGGGGTTCCCTCACTGTGCAGCCTGCTAGCAACAGCTCCACCTTGGACACACGATGGCCAACGCACCGCGTTTGACGCTGAAAAACAGCCACTTGAATATAGTGGTCTTCAGACTCTTTGATCAAGCCAGCCGGAGGCCTCTTTACAGACACAGTGGGGAACATTTACTCTCCCCGTCCACCTTGATGCATTACAAATCCTATAGCTTCGTGATTGATTTGGGGTGAATAGGTGGGGCTGCACCGATGGCTGAGTAATGGAACGGCTGGCTCTGAATGCCCCCTCCCAATCCAACCCCTTCCCCTGGTGGCTGCTGGTCCCCTCTCCCTTCTCCATCTCTAGGCTCACCTGCAGCCCTGGAGTAGAACTAGGAGTGATGTGGGGACATTAAGCAAAGGAAAGTGGAGCTGTGTTGGGATCACCCCTGGGAAGTGGGGGAAGCCCCGCGACTGAGACTAGACTGGACAAAGCACTGTCAAATATACCACGGGAAACAATGCCAGCAGCAGAAATGTGGACCAAGTAGGTGGGGGAGCTTTGTCACAGGACAAAGATATATGTATTTACCCACATCCCACAGCAGTAGTCTGCACTCAGCATTTACTTGTGCTCCTCTGCTGGTGTCTAAACTCACACTAATTAAAAACCATATATGTCCTATCATATTGTGAGCCAATCGTAGACATTCTGATATTCGTATTTGTTTTATCCCTACCAGCTTCCCCTAGTCCAGAGGTTTATAACCGGTGGCCCACAGATGCCTGGGGCTCTTCTTAGACTATGTCTAAGGGATCCACAAAAGGTTGTTGTTACCATAGAACAGTGTGGTCCATGGACACCTGGGGGTCAGGAGACCATGCTAAGATTTCTGGAGTGGTCTGCACCGCCATTCAAAACTTGTAGGGGGCCGCAAATAAAAAAAAAGAAGGTTGAAAAACCCTGCCCTGGTTGTCCTTATGTTCCATGTCTAATGTCTTGATCATACACTCCTCAGTGTAGGAGTCGTGCCTTTCTCACCTCTCTGTGCTCCACACATGCTGCGGTGTTACAAACGTGTTCATTCATATGTTCATTCATACAGTACGGGGATACGGCAATTTGAACAACAGTCATTTTAAATGCCCCAAGTGAGCTGCACAATCTACTGGTACGTGGTGAAACATTAGACTTGCCCGCTCCAGTGATTTGGGGGAGTGGGAGGGGCAGTGGAGAACCTGCCCCAAAGATTTCTTTTTGGACAAGGACTATCAGAACATCCGTTACCCAAGGCGGTACAACCAGACTTTACTGAACTAGACCTTGGGACGACAGCTCTAAAGACGGCAGTGTTTACCTGCATGTGCTTTGCACTGTAGGGCCATGTTCCTGTAATGCCATGCACGTCTCTCAATCCAATCGTTGTACGTTTATGGACAGAATGATCAGAACAATGGTCCCAGACCAGGGGTGCTGGAACAATTTTTATAATGGGGGTCCTGAGAGCCATTGAACCAAACTGTAAACCCTGTGTTTGATGGAAACCACTTCAAGCCAGGGGGTGCAGCAGCTCCTCCAGCACCTGTGTCCCAGACAATCCGGGGCCCGGTAAAAAATTTCTCCAGACTAGGTGTTTCTCCAACAGAATTCTAAACAGCAGCTAGACGTCTGCTGAGCTCTGCTGCCATCTACCGGACAATATGGAAATGTGAGAGTCCTACATAGACTGGTGGGGACCCAAACCTGGGAACGTGAGCTCTTTGGGGCAAGAGCTGACATTGATCATAAGCTTGTACAGGGCCAGCACAATGGGCTGCCACCTGAGGGAGGTCTTTTGGCACTAACCCCCTCTAAATGTTAAATAATAAAGACTGTGCTGGTCCTGATGCAAACCTTGATGGGGTGGTGGGCTCCCCTTGATATGAACTGGTCGCTCCCACTGGAATTACCTAAAGAACAGAGAAATGGCCATACTGGGTCAGACCTGGACCATCTAGCCCAATATCTTGTCTTCCGACAGTGGCCAGTGCCAGGTGCTTCAGAAGGAATGAACAGCATAGGGCAATTATCGAGTGATCCATCCCCTGTCGTCCAGTCCCAGCTTCTGGCAGTCAGAGGTTTAGGGACACCCAGTGTATGGGATTAGGTGTCTGACCATCTTGGCTAATAGTCGTTGATGGACCTATCCGACCACCAGGGACTTATTTTTGGTCTGCACAACATGCCTTGCAACAAGTTCTGCAGGATGTCTGCGTGTTGCATGAAGTACTTCCTTTTGTTTGTTTTAAACCTGCTGCATATTAATTTCATGGGGTGACCCCTGATTCTTGTGTTATGTGAAGAGGTAAAGAGCACTTCCCTATTCACTTTCTCCACCCCAGTCATGATTTTATAGACCTTCATCATTCCCCCCCTCCCCCTTAGTTGTCTCTTTTCCAAGCTATTTCAGTCCCAGACTTTTTAATCTCTCTTCACACGGAAGTTGTTCCATACCCCTAATCATTTTTGCTGCCCTTTGCTGTACTTTTTCCAATTCTAATGTATCTTTTTTTGAGATAGGGTGACCAGAACTACATGCAGTATTCAAGGTGTGGGCAGACCCTGGATTTTTTTTAGTGGCATTATGATATTTTCTGTCTTCTTATCTATCCCATTCCTAATGGTTTCCAACATTCTATTAGCTTTCTTGACGGCCGCTGCACATTGAGTGGATGTTTTCAGAGAACTATCCACAGTGACTCCAAAATCTCTTTCTTGAGTGGTAACAGCTAATTTAGACCCCATTGTATAGTGGGGATTATGGTTTCCAATGTGCATTACTTTGAATTTATCAACATTGAATTTCATCTGCCATTTTGTTGCCCAGTCACCGAGTTTAGTTTAGTGAGATCCCTTTGTAACTGTTCACAGTCAACTTTGGACTTAACTAACTTGAATAATTTTTTATCTTCTGCAAACTTTGCCACCTCACTATTTATCCCCTTTCCCAGATCATTTATGAATATGTTGAACAGCCCTGGCCTCAGGACAAATCTTTGGAGAACCCCATTATATATCACTTTCCATGGTGAAAACTGACCATTTCTTCCTACCCTTTGTTTCCTGTCTTTTAACCAGTTACTGATCTCTGAGGGGACCTTCCCTCTTATCCCATGACTGCTTACTTTCCTTAAGAGCCTTTGGCGAGGGACCTTGTCAAAGGCTTTCTGAAAGTCCCAGTACACTATGTCCATTGGATCACTCTTGTCCACATGTTGGTTGATCCCCTCAAAGAATTCTAGTAGACTGGTGAGGCATGATTTCCCTTTACAAAATCTGTGTTGACTCTTGCCCAACAAATCCTGTTCATCTGTATCTGATAATTCTGTTCTTTTCTATAGTTTCAAGCAGTTTGCCCTGTACTGAAGTCAGGCTTACTGGCCTATAATTGCGAGGATTGACTCTGGAGCCTTTTTTAAAAATCGAAGCATGGGATGTGAGGCACAGACAGGACTTCCAGTGGTGATGCCTCCTCTGCTCTTAACTAGTCAGCGGAGAGATGGGTCGGGAAATCCTATCCTTCTGTGTCTCCCCAGACCACACCCAAGGGGCATGTAACATGAGTGTTTGTCTTTGCTTCTGGGGGGTGAGTTAGCCCCCATAACCCTGACTGCAGCCTGCTCACATTCCCCTCCAACAGTCAGTCTCAATCTAGGCCTCCATGTAGGCCTGAGTGGGAGCAAGAGCCAATCAGTGGGGCCTTGGGGTCGGTGGGGTGTCTGAGGCCCAGCCCAACCAGAGAGGGTACCTAGGCTGGACATATTAGTACTTAGCCATTGCCTGTTTGATAGCACCAGTCCGGAAACCCACCAGCCCTCGACGTATGAAAGAGGGTATCTTGTTTAAAGAGCCCATTTTCAGAAATTGTGGAAACGTGGAGAGGAAACTTGGACTCCTTCACCAACCCCCGTGAGAATGACAAATGTGTTTGGACTCCAACCATGCTCAGGCACTCGCAGGAAAAGCTCTACAACAGTGGCAGTCATGAAGGGGGGCATGGGGAGGCTGAGGGGGTCTCTCTGACCCAGCTGCTGCTGGGGACTCTGGAACCTGACCGGGAGACCTGAGTGATTGTGAGGCCACCGGACATACATGATGCCTGCCTGTTGTCTGAACCTATGGAGGACAATGCCTCATTCAAGGCTGGGGAGTCTCCTTCAAACAATTTGAGCCACGGAGCTGAGTCATAGATAAATAGGACATAAAATACCAAGGGGCTAGAAGTGCTAGGGTGTAGGAACTGACCATGACTGTGTAAATGTAAAGCGGGTGCTCACCAGTGATTCTTTAGGGAAAATCTCTCAAAAGCTGTACAGCATCTTCTAGAGAACCGGGAGAACCTGGACGGCCTTAGAGCAGAGGACACAGGCCTGAAGTGCTTTTCCCCTCCCCAAGACAAGCTGTTTGAGAGGACGCCGAGGATGAGAATAGTGTAATGGGGTTGCACTCGCGTCTCGTGAGCACCCCTTGTCCGCGTGTGTATGCCTGCACCCTCTCCATTTGTGGTGGGTCTTCAGTGTCTCAGCCCTCCTGTCAAGTCACACTATCTGTATGTGAAATAAAAACCCCTCTGGGGGAAACAGTCTGACATGGGGGCCTCTCCCAGTACCCCTCATTTGGCCTTTCTTTCCCTGTAGCCCTCCCTGTGCTCAGGGCCTTAATTAGTCCAGCAGTCTTCAATATGGCCTCGGCCCTGGTATTGAGCCGTACTCCAGGGCTCCCTCCCTGGAGGCAATGCCTTCACCCTCTCTGGGCCTTTTGGGTCCCAGCTCTCCTTCTGGGGTGCATAAAAGTCCAGGCCACTTTCCTAGTGGCTAGTGGGGTGGGGGACCTGGGCCCACTCTCTACTCTGGATCCCAGTCCAGGGACTCTAAAGATAGCAGCCACCCACTGTGTCCCTTTAACTAAACTGTGTTGCTGCTATGAATCCCTAGGCCACTTCCCTGTGGCACCAGCAAGTTCATCACCCTTACCTCAGGGCCCTGTCCTGGTTGAGTCCCAGCGGCCAATCTGGAGGTCCCTCTTGCTCCTACTGGTCTCTGCCAGCACTGCTCTGTCCAAGGTCCTGTAGCTTCCTCAGCCAGCCAGGCACACCCTCCACGCTCCTCCAGCTCCTACAAGGAACTGAACGCTGCACTGCAGCTCCATTTATATGTGCCTGCTGGGCCCTGATTGGCTGCATCCCACACAGCCACTCTAAGCAGCTTGGAGGACCCTCTCCATTGCCCTTTTCTGGGGCTGGTGTGGCAGGGCCATGAGGCCTCTAGCAGGGGGCCTCAGGGCCTGGTTCAACTGCCACAAGTAGTTATAAGGAGCTCACTAGGAATAGAGCTGTCTGAGTCTGCGTCATGTCACAGTACCCATAAACATTGTCACAGGGAGTAGCTTTTTGAAGATTGTGAGGGGTGTGTTATAGATGCGCCAGGCCACTGACATCATGGCTGTGAACTGGACCTCAGTGGCTATAAACTGTGAATTTCTGGCCCTTTATGTTGATCTTTGTCTGGAAAGCTTATTAAATGCTGTTCTTGCCTTAGATTAGTCAATGCGCTGTCTGGGCTCAACTCAATTTAGCTGAGGGGGTGGCCTTGCGAAACGCTGTGCGAACTTTGCCAAACAAAGTGACCCGCCCGAAGGCTGACCGGGTCATGGTGTGTGTTGCCCACCTGCTCCAATCCAGTTACTAAACCCGGCTTACAGAAAAGACAGTTTGTAAAAAATCTAAAAGATTTAAGTTAGAGCATGATGAGGGGACAACCCTATGGTGTAAAATAGAACAAAAACTTGGTATCTGTAAATAAAATATCTATCAAAAAGGTGTTTGTA